TATATATATATATATATATATATATATATATATATATATATATATATATATATATATATATATATATATATATATATATATATATATATATATATGTATATGAAACTATTATATATAAAAAATATATATACCTACACTACTATATATATGTGTGAAATGTTACTATTACATCGAGAATTTTCAAATTGTTATAATTCAGGTAACAGAAGCATACGAAGTTTTATCATCCGATGAAAAACGGAAAGCTTATGATAAGAAGTGCCAAGAAAATTGGATGCAGACACCAACGGGGAGTTGGCCGATGCAGATGAAAGTGAAAAAGAGCTTTGAGGATTTGGGATTAGATTACAAAACCTTCGAAGATTTTCAGCGTAGTGTGAATACTAGGTCAGTGGCATTACCAAATTCTTCTTATGGCTGAAAATTCCAATGATTTTTTAAATTCATCTTTCAGGAAACAACAGGCTAGACACGATCACTGGCAAATGCCTGATGAATTTTTCGCTCATTTCGATAGTCCCCGTGAATTCACTAATACTTTTCGTCCACGAACAGCAACTTATTTTACCTACAGTTACAAAGTCATCTAAATTTTCAAGATTTCTATTGTTATCTGGATATTTTGTAATAGCTTAAAGTACATCTTACGTTCCTGTATGCCGTGATAAATGACCACCTTCCCAAAAACTTTTTATCATGTTTCAAGATATGATAAGAGGTTTTTGGGGAGCCAATAATTTGCAGGGTTCAACAGGTAAGCCACATTAAAAAAGCTTTAATTATCACTGGTGCATGAATAGCGTTGCATGATTTGAAATGAAATTAATTCAGGATCCGATGCAGCGACAGCGTGAGATGAGAGAATGGCAAATTTTAAAGGAAATTGAAGAAGAAAAACGAAAATCTAAATATAAAACACCAGCCTTTATGGTGATGGAGGGGGAACGAAGAAAACAAGAGCTAAGGGAAAAAAGAACAACCAATATTTTACTTCTTGTTTTTGGATGTGTGTCGATATTAACCTATATCCGCTTAACGTAGGATACTACAATGCTGTAAACCGTAGAAAATATAAATATCAAGTTGAGATAAAGTTAAATTTTCTGTCCTCAAAACTTTTACAAAATTTTCTTCACAGAACTTCCGCTATTTTGTTGTCCAGTCGCATTTTTCTTGTCTTATATCATGCAAACAGTTACTGGTACCATCTTGGTATTAACTGGATAGTTTCGTATGTTTAATTTTATTATTTGCCCAAAGGACCTGCTGTAAGCATAGGCTTCGAAACCAGAAAACCCTACCTTTAAAAGCATGATTCACTAGGCTTTGTTAACAGTGAATCCCCAGTTGTTCCAGTGATACGTTTAAGACTTTTACAAGTTCTACTTTCTATAGTAGTATCATCTCTACTAGATATTTTGTTCAGTTTCGGCTCAAGTAATTCTACTTGGACAGAATACTGTTCAACACCACTTGAAATATAGAGTCTGAAATATGTAGCTTAGGCAATGTTCTCAAGCGAAACAAATCCACCACTCATGTAAGAGCAAATTTAAAATTTAAGGCGCTGAGGACAAAGTAACTGCATTCTCCCATACAACACCAGAGAAACCAAAATAGCAGTTCGCCAATCTACCGACAGATTCGCTGTAGAACGAATTCCCTGACTAGCACTTTTGATTATCCTAAACCTGCAGGCAGTCCGAATACTGGCTTCCCCGTGACCTGTCTATGAAGCTGCCTAAAAAGACAGTTTTGGAACGTCATATTCCCTAGAATGTTGCAACGTCACACGAAAAAATGATAACAAGGAGTGGAGATGGGTGTTCCGATACAATCGGTGCTACATCCAATGAGTTACAACGACAACAATGTACGTCAAAAAATATCAATGAATTTGAAAATTCTGGTCGGTGTGTCCCTTGTTCGTGTTAATAAAAGCACATATGAGTTACCGTTTATTTAGAGCTCAAGGATCGTCGATTTTATGCAGCAATATCATCACCGTTGATGTTCCAATGGATAAATGACAAAGTTTTGTCGCTGATGTATCAAATTTATGTAAATTCAGGAAAAAATAGATCAGAATAAACAAACACAAAAACAACCAATCAATAAATGACATAAAAAGCACGGCAATAACAGTAATATGATAATGGTGCATTTTCTCCAAAATATTTTTGGTTTCTGTGCTAGAACCTTTGCAACAGTCAATCCATTAGAGATCTTCGTCGTCATCTGGAAGTTCAGCGTTCGCGGCAGCAGCAATTTCTTGTTCGTACTGTGCAACCATTGTTGGATCCATCTGTACTTCAGGTGGAGCAAGTGCAGGCATTGCAACAAATTCTAGATTTGGGTCGCCTAACAATTTTCGGGCTAACCAGAGGAAAGGTTTTTCGAAATTATAATTGCTCTTCGCTGAGATATCATAATACTGAAAACAAATAAGGTAAATTCTATCATATTGAAACCACAATTTTTGTAACTGACATAAAAATGAACAGCCATATAATCCACAACACCAAGAAATGAAAAGAGAACTACCTGAAGATTCTTTTTCGATGGAATGTGATCGTTTTAGCCTTAACTTTTCTGTCCTTGACATCTACCTTATTCCCACATAAAACTATCGGAATATTTTCACAAACGCGCACTAAATCACGATGCCAGTTTGGAACATTTTTGTAAGTAACACGTGCTGTTACATCGAACATAATGATGGCACACTGACCTGAAATATTTTGTTTATTTGTCATAATTTGAAAGAGGGTATGAAATGTTCTAAAGCTGGTACGAAGTTCATTCTACATAACTTAATCCTTTAACAATCAATGTCCCAAAGTCCTGAAGGTTTTATCAGTGAAGTTTGCAAAAATATAGTCAAATTTCTAATCATGTGTATGGCAATTAGCAAATTCTCGGCCGCAAAATCCTTACCCTTTTTAAAGGATCACTTTGGAATATTACCAGACTGTAACAAAAATGAAAATGAAGTAAAGACAGTCGTCGTTGGTTGTCTCCAACTTCAACTTCTTACTTCCATCGTGTTTACATGCGCACATTCTTTTTCCATAAAATTACTTAGAACAGAATTTATCTTTATATGCCAAACGACAACATCCTATGTCTTATGAAGTTCTGAGAATCCATGAGAACAGGAATCCAAACACGACTAACTATATACCTTGTATATAATAACCATCTCGCAATCCGCCAAACTTTTCTTGCCCAGCTGTGTCCCAAACATTGAATCGAATCTGACCTCTGTTTGTGTGAAATATCAGTGGATGAACCTCAACACCCAATGTTGCTATAAAAAACCGTAGAAACAAAACATGCAAATGACAGGTGACCTTAAAATAGCCAAAGCTACATAATTATAAGTATGCATAAGATAAAGTGAACACCTACCAACGTATTTTTTCTCAAATTCTCCTGTAAGATGTCGCTTAACAAACGTCGTCTTGCCCGTACCGCCATCCCCAACAAGTACAAGCTTAAATGTCGGGATATCATCACCAGTTGCCATTATTTATGCTGCTACCACTGCAACGTTAAGTTGGATACAATTACAGATATGGGTAATACAGAGATACAGCCTGCTAATGTAATAACACATCAGTTACAACAGAAATGATTGTGAAACAAGGTGCGCAGCATGAAATTTCTGCAAATGTCAAGCTATATACTCAGCAACAACAGGGTTGAGTATATAGCTTAGCATTTGCAGAAAGTAGTATCAGTATATATATGGAACTAGCAGTGTGCTTACTCCACTAAAAAAGCATCAACTTAAAGATGAGTAACACAAAATAGAGGGGAGATTGTTACGATGAAGGTAAGACGATTTTAATAACACTTACACATAATTCCTGCAAGAAACCAGGTAAAATATCTTGCTATTATTCACAACTAATAAAAATTTCACTGAAGAAGAATCACGACGTGACTTTCCGACGTCTCATTGGTAAAAGCATCGTGTTATCCTTACAAGACTTACGTCCCCGTCCCATGAAATAATCTACCATCTACTGAATCTCTCTACCTGTCCACACTACCTCTAAAAATCCCAAACCCCACCTCGTAAATGCCATACAATCCCAAACTCCACAAATAGAAACAACTCGTTGCAAATCGTTAGTTTTTGGCTACTCGCATTACAACCTGGCCTACTAACAAACTTCGTGCAGAACGTTTGCACGGCCATATTTTTTGGTTTTTGCACGTCCCAAAGTGGCGGGTATTTTAGTCTGGGACATAGATGGGTGTTTTATTTACGATTCCCGAGTAAGCCGCCACTTTGGTCGCACTCTCCAGCTGTATTGCCTTCATCACAGCGAATGCAGTTGTTTTTGTGATGTAACCTTTTGAATGCTTAGCTATTCATGTGCTCTTCACGTGAGGTCACTAAAACACTATACATAAGATTAGTGGTTAGTGCATGTGAGATTATTGTAGTGAAGATATGTAAGACAAAGAAATGCCTACATTGAAAGAACTTCAAGGTATGATGTGGAGAGAGATTCTGAAACAAACATTAGTAAATCGATGTTTCATTTCCATGCAACGGTGTAGGGACGAAGGATACTAAGGGAGGGAGTAGAATAAAGCATTAGATTCATAATAAATATTTTATTTGATTCATCATTATATACAACATTTGCTTCAGCTTCAACTGTTATCGACAGGTTCACTTTATAATGTATGTTGTAGTAATGGGAAAATAAAGTTGTATTTTCAGAGAAAGGAAATGGGAAAGAAACAGAAGTCGATGAAACGGAAAGAATTTGACGTTGGTGTAAGTTCTTGCCTCGCATTTATTCATGTTTTCAATGAATTATGAAGGTACACAAGCAGTTTCTGTTTTAATTTCATGGTTTCAGGAGGCTCAGGCTGCAGGTGACTACTCCATCAAACCTTCTGAAAAAGCAGCTGTGCTAGATACTTCACAATGGCCGTTGTTGTTGAAGGTATGCAATCATTTGTAGATATGTTTGAGGGAGATTGATTGATATATGTAAGGCCTATTTATTCCCGGTATTGATTCCTGCTGATAATTCGACTTATAATTACTTTCGCCACTGAAAATAATGACTCTTCAAAACATATAAAATTCTGTTAAATTGTAAGCTGAAACATGTTCTTTCATGAGAAATCATTTCGCATCAAATTCTGTTCAAACTGATGGATTTCGAGGGCATTTATTCAATTTTTTGTTTTCTTCTGGGAAGTGCTTGTGGCGCGCAAATCTTTTCTTACGAAGTTTTCAGAATTTCGATAAAATGAATGTACGATCTAATCATTATACTCCACTTCCGGAAGGCTGCTCTCCGCTTAAAAGAGATATTAAAAACTACGTCTCTTCCGGTTGCATAAATCTCGACAAGCCAGCTAATCCGTCAAGTCATGAAGTGGTTGCGTGGATCAAACGAATATTGCGAGTTGACAAAACCGGACATAGTGGCACTTTAGATCCCAAAGTATAGCACTTTTTCCACAGATTTTTTTCTCGGATTGACTAAATCATTCCCTAGTAATGCTTCATAAGTGCAATTTCTGTTTTTCTTTAGAAAATATAACTTTGATTTGAGAATGCAGTCTACATCTTCTCCAAATTTTGAAAGTCACATTCCTATTGCACAACATTTCTTCACCAAATGAATAAAAAAGAAACTAAATAAAGTTTTTTGAGTCTACTAAATTGATTGAAGATCGCAAACTTCCAAAATCTTCACCACAAACTTATTATTTTCAGGTGTCGGGCTGTTTGATTGTTTGCATCGATCGAGCTACTAGACTTGCAAAGTCACAGCAGGGTGCTGGTAAGGAATATGTAGCTATATTTCGATTGCATAATACTGTTGAGTCAGAAAAAAAAGTGAGACAGGCTTTGGAGAAGTTGACCGGCGCATTATTTCAACGTCCGCCGCTCATATCTGCTGTTAAACGACAACTAAGGATCAGGACAATCTACGAAAACAGGCTGATTGAGTATAATTCGAATCAGAATATGGGCATATTTTGGGTTTGTCTTGCCGAATTCAAGTCATCGTAATTATTTAAAAAATTATAATCTACCTTTCTACATTCCCTATCTACTAAAAATACAATCTACATTTCCTCTCTACTCCCATCCACAGCAGTCTTCTTTCCTTGCGCACATCTCTGTTGGTTAATCGATCAATTTGCATCAACTGCATTTTAGTTATAAAATAGAGCTAGTTTAAAGATTTTTGATTTCAAGGTGAAATGCGAAGCGGGAACCTATGTGCGGACAATTTGTGTGCATCTCGGCTTACTTTTGGGCGTCGGAGGTCAGATGCAAGAACTAAGAAGAGTTCGTTCAGGTACGTTTTCAAGATTTCACGAAATTATTAGTCTTTTTTACGTAAAACCATTCCGTGATTTATTATTACATTTTTTTTTTTACATTTTGAGGTATTTTTGGTGAAAAGGACAATTTAATGACGATGCATGATATTCTGGATGCGCAATATCTTTATGATCATCATAATAACGATAGTTATTTGCGAAGAGTGATCCGACCACTTGAATCTCTCCTCGTGGGCCATAAACGAATCGTTGTTAAAGACAGTGCCGTAAGCACTTTGTTAATTTATTTTATTATCTCACGAATAAAACAAATGTCTTTATTTTTCCTTACTTTTATTAGAGTTATATTATAGTTCATCTTCATTAGTAATTTGATTGTCCCGTACACATGAATGCATTTCGGTCTCCCGAAAGAGTAAATATTCATATTATGAAATCTTTCCATTCAGTATATTTGTTTTTGACTTTCATTTTCTCCACATGCTAGCACATCCCATTGTATTGTGCCGTTGTTGAATGCTGTTCACCACTGTTAAATCAAATCGAGATATTCGAGTTTCTATTGGATGCATTTTAACTTTGTTTAAAAAAAATTAATATCATTTTGTAGGTGAATGCAATTTGCTATGGCGCCAAAATACTTCTGCCGGGTATCCTTCGGTTTGAAAATGGAATCGAATTGAATGAAGAAATTGTTATCGTAACAACAAAAGGAGAAGCCATTTGTTTAGGTCGATTCCTCCTTTTAATTTTTAATTCATTTATAACAATATTAGTTGTTTACATAATATATATTTCAAGTACTGCTCTTTTTGCTTAATACCGAAATCTTATTTTTGGGTTTAGCATTGGCACTTATGACCACATCAACTATGGCAGTGACGGATCATGGGGTCGTTGCAAAAATCAAAAGAGTGATTATGGAAAGAGATACTTACGCTCGAAAATGGTGTCTTGGACCAATTGCATCCAAGAAAAAGGCTATGGTCATTTACTTTCCCCTCACCATCCAGTTCTTGCAATATAAATGTTACCCGTTATTCTTCATTTAACTTTCAATCGAAAGGTTGCACGAGTCAGCCTCATAAATGAATGATAAATTTTATTCCAAAATATTCTCATGTGATTTTTAGATAAATCAAGGATTGCTCGATAAATATGGTAAACCAAATGAGAAAACTCCAGCTGGTTGGCGTTCCGCTTATTACGATCTTAGTGACACCATTTCGGGTAACAGTTGTATACAAACATTACTGGAAGGAGAGAAAAAGGATGATAAAAACGAGGTTTGTATTTCGCATTTCTATCAACAAGAGAGGAGGAGAGTATGCTAATTTGAGCGAGATATCAAATAATTTCACAACAACATGCCATTGTTAATTTTTTTTATTTCTCAGCGAGCAATATTTAATCAAAAATCATGCATTTTGAGGTATGAAGCATTAATAACCATCCCTCATTTTAATACGCTATTTTTCCAAAACACAATGTAGAAGATCGAGCTACTTTGAACTGGTATCATTTATATATTTTTCCTTTAAATAGTGGATACTACGGCTGGATGCTGCTAAGGAGAAGTAAATTTATACATCTGTTTATGTATCGAATTAAGATTGGACGAGTTGGTAAATAAAAAAAGAAAAAAAAATAAAAACGAAAATAAGAAAAATGAAAAAAAAACTCAGAAAAGAAAAATTAATAAGTTCTTAAATCTAGTTAGAATTTCGTATGCAATAAGTGCATACCATTTTTCAACGTTTTATATAAGAATCGCAACTCTCTAGGTCACGAATTTCAATGGAGCAGTGTAGCTCCACGACTTTGTGTTTTGTAAATGTTATCGTCCGCCTCGAGATACCCCATCAATAATAGTAGGACTAGCAAGTAAATTAGAATTACTGTCACCCATAACTTTTCTCCTGTAAAAAATTGAAAGAATAAGAAAAAAAGAAAAGGCTTTTAAGATTTCTCCAGAAGATGTACAGGGGAGAAAATGACCAATACTGTCCGATCATTTATTGTATATTATCCATAAGATAACTCTGTTGCAAGCCTTATGTCAACTGACTCAAAATTTTTGCAGCAATCAAAAGCGAAAGAAAGGAAAGAAGTAGAATCGTCAGATTCATCAAGTGATGAAGAAAGCGAGTAAATTGTAGAAATTCATTAATTCATTGTTGATTTCTCTTCGTTTCAAAATTTGCAACAACTTCTCAACTAAGGGCATTTAGTAATTACAATAAAGATGAGAATGTCACCATAGACGCTTTGGTTTTTCTGCATAAGTTTGTTTTGGACGAAACAAGGGAAGGACGTAAAAACCACGTAAAAATCGTGATTCATATCGTACGTAATCTAACATCGAATCAGTATCAGATTACATATGCATTATTCATAAAGCGATAGAAATGGGATATTCGTTCGTCATTCTATTCAATGTACATCTTAGGAAATCTGCTTTGGTGCTGTTGCTTTCTAGTTTTTCCAGGATGAAAGTTTCGCATCATGAATCCCAGAGCCTTTATTGATTTCCTTCAGAAAATGTCCACAACTGTTATGTCCTATGCAAAGTTTTCTCTTGTTTGTTGTCAGGAATTGTTGTCTATAAAAATATAAAAGTTGTGTGATGTTTGTTGCATCAACTGTGTTGTGCTGGTTTTCGATCAGAAAGTGATAGCTGCGTAGAAATTCTCTTTATGTAACCTTAAGAATTTGAAGCGCAACAAGTAATGAGCCCTCTTTGATCCAAACGTATGAAATTTAACTTATTTCATAAAGTAGGCTGTTCTATGCATACATTCAAAAAAAAACGACTGCAAGTAGCGATACCAAGCCTTTGGGCCTGATTTGCTCCTCAATAGTGCCAGAAGCTTAAACGTGCACTAATGCACCATTTCCCCACTTATATTACGTGAAAGCATACTAACATCCTAAGGACTCCAGAAATATTTCTTTTGTAGTTGAAATTAAAATTGGATTTTGAGAATTCTGTTGCATGTTTCTGCACATCACTTTTCCAAATCTTCATTTCGATTATTAGGCTTCAAAGTCCACGGAATCTAACACTGAAAGAACCGCTTCACAAATACAATTCAATCCTTGAAAAAAAAGGCACCAAAATAGCACTGAAATAAAGTTAACTTATCCTTTTCCAAATAATGACAGCACTCAGTTTTCCCCCACTAAATTTATACAATCTCTCCTGTCCTATTCATCCTTATTGTACGGATTGTCTCCCCTGTTGGACTTTTTTTTATCTGATAAAAATTGCTAATGAAAATAATACGGACATTCTGATTACAACCCCGCACTTCTACGACGGGCAAAAAGATCTTTAATCTTCCTAAAAGCTATATGTATCAGCCATATTTTTATCAGCTATTTCGTCCTCCAGTAAGCGAATTCTTCTCTCGTGTTGCCGTAGGATAGCTTTGATCTTGTTCAAATCTGATAGCACGTCTTCTACTGAATTTGACTGAAAATTAAATTCCCTGAATGAAAACTACTGATTTCATGGTAAATATTTAGGCAAAGTTTGTGATTGTAGTGTTTAGTCCGTACTAAAACAGTATTTCATAAACAAAGGATGGTATTGTATAACAGAAATGGCAACATCTATTGGTGAGTAACAGAAAGATTCTTTAGAAAGAGGACAGTGAAAGGTGAATTTACAGATCCCAGATGACTTTGAATCAATCAAACCAGATCTTAGGAGCAATTTCACCTTTCACTGAATTTTGCTGGCTATCGAATAGTTAGAAATGTTTGTGATGCAGATGATGGAATGGTATCAAGAAGTGGAATGTACTCCCGAAAACCGCAAACAAACCACAAAGATATAAAAGCGTGCCGATCAATCCAAAGCAAAGCGTCAAAACTCAAGGAGGCGGAGGTCTATTTGGTCGCTTTAAAACATTAAATAATGGTCGATGAAGTAAATATTTACCTCGGAAGGGCCACTCATGCTCTGTCTTGGTGAAACCGAATTACTGTGCATTTGTTGTGGCGGAGCAAGCTCTTCTCGATCCGGCTCCCGGTCTTTTGCTCGTTTGATACGTTCTAAATCAGCGGTTATTCTTCTCTGACCTGGTGTTGTCGCCGCACCATCTCTTTCGACATGCGATCGTAAGTGTACCTGGATACTGACGGAAATGTGGAAAAAAAATGAACACAATGTTTTATTTTAATTTCTTCATCAGTAACTTCCCATATATATTGACCTATTTTCAAGCAACTCCATGGTAATTACTGGAGAAAGCACCTGTTGCCGCGGTACCACTGCATTCAGCCGTTCTGGATTCCGTGCATTTTGCGGATGCTGTTCACGTTCTGGACCACTACTACGTTCTATCCTAACAATGCCAGTATCTTCATCAAGTGGTCCAGCAAGCATGCTTTTCGGTCTGGATTGACGGGGTGTCGGAGCTGGCTCCTCATGATGTATATCTTCGTATGATGGCATCCTCTGCTGCTCAGTCTGTGAGCGCGTTGCGACCAGTTCCTGGCTAGATACTCTTGTCACTACATTTCTTGCCGCTATGAATTTCAATGTTCTGCACAGTTTTCATTTAGAAGTAGCAACCAAAACAATAATCCTCAATAAAACAATTATTCAAAACCACACGGAAATTAAAACCTGGAAGGAAGATGAGCAAGGATATTGGCTTTTTTGGCTACTTGTACTTTAGGCTTAGCAACAGCGGCGTCTGGATTTACTGACACCAAGTTCGGAGGAGCATTTTGACCTTCGATAAATTGTTCTGCAGTCAATGCTGGTATGTGGCTCCGAGTATCTGGATACAAATCTGCCTGAAATTACAACAAATGTGAATTAATTTGCATTCCAGCCAACTTGTTTTATTGTTTATTGTTAGCTCATCTACTGAGCGCCATAACTCCCATCTGAAGCAAAATAAATCTTATTCTAGGGCTCTTCAAGACACACCAAAATAAAATGAAGTAAGATATACTGTATATTTTCTTAACAGAGAACTGCATCAAAAATTCAAATTAAGTTAACCAAGATATCCAGGGAAACCGTTTAGTAAAATAAATGTCAGTATAAAGATGTTCTGCTGCCTCTCCACAATTTGAATATGCTGAATTTTAAATGAACAAACCTGATACAAGTCGGATTTTCTCGGAACAAAAAACTGTAATTCGTCGACAACACCTTTTGTCGTCACTTTGTATATACGTGCAATTTCATTTTCGTTAGAATTGAGACCCAATTTCGGCATGAAAGCAATGCCACGTTGGGGTTCCGATGTAGTATATGTGTTGATATAATGTACAAACGGATATTCATTGTTCACTTCGTAGTACCGTATAGCACAGTCGCCCTGAACAGATGAGTGGTGCCAATAGCACAAGTTGATTTAATTAAACATTAAGTAAACAAAAAATTACCTGAGTCTAAATCTTTATAAGCTTCAGTTTTCTAGTATGCATTAGTGTACAAACACACTGAGGCAACTGTAAGCTTTTGTACCTCAGAACATGCCTTTGTGTTCCATCTAATGATTGCTAGTATCTATTGCCAAGTAACGTTATCACAAAGACTTACTTTGCCTGCTAGATAAATAAGGCCACTGTCCTCGTCGTACAGTGGGAATAGAACACCGTTACTTGTATCAAGCTCTTCTTGTATCAGTGGTTCATCCAGATTCTCCTGAATGTTTTAAATTGATGAGCACGATTTAGAAGAAATCTAAGATAAGACCTCAAAATGTGAAATATGTTTAACAAAACTGGAATTTTAGTAAAAGTGGGAAAAGGAACTCATATCAACCTGAGAGAAGAGAAAATAATTATGTCTAACTAATTCACTGCAGCAAAAACAGACTTGTGTTCGAAGCGCGTAAAGCCTTTCAGAACGTTTCGTGAAACCGGTAGTAAAGATTCTGCCGTCTTTGAGAAAGATTGCGCGTTGTGGTTTTACTCCTTCATGTCCATTACCCTGATGAAGAACCTCACCTGTATGAGAGTCAATTACCCGTATTTTCTTATCTTTACATGTTGTCACGAATCGACTTCCTAAATAGTAGATTTCAAAATGTCAGCTAAATTTTATCATAAGGAAGGAAACAAATACAGCATTTTGATTTTATTTTTTTCTTTTTTACAATCCACATTTCTTTGATATTTCTTTATTCTCTGTACTCAATCCAATGCAGATCCCAGCACAAATTTTCAAGATTCATTATCACACAATGATCAGGTTGATCACCATTTCCGAAATACTGTGATTGTGGGGAAGGACTGACAAGCTCCACGGAAGTATATAGGCAACAATTAGGAAAAACAAACCATCATAGTTGAAAGATACAGACCATATCATGTCTGGATGACCACTGATTTCTAGTAAAGCATCCCCCGTACCCACGTTCCAGATTAATAATTTGTTTTCACCACCTGAAAATATAAAAGCAAATATACACTTAAAAATAGTTATCACTACAGTAAGATAATCCCTTACAGTATCAGAAATGCTGGAAATAGAAACTTTTCAATAGGAAGTAATAGACGTCTCATTTCCTCACCCACACAGTTAACTTCTCAAAAAAGCTATCACCCTTCATTGATTAGCAACCAATAACTACAGATCCAAGCAAAAAATTAATTAGAGAGCTCAAATACCAGATGATATCCTATTCTAGCACTACAGAATTTACAGCAATTCTAATTAGCTGTTTACTGAAAATATACCAGCAGTAAGTATAATATTGCTGGCTGTTGGATGCCATGCTAATGTGTTCACGCGCTTCTGATGACCACACAGTTCAACCACCGGTTCGCTAATCGTGCGAATTAGACCATTTTGCGGGATTAACCATATCTTAATTATACGCAAGCTAATACCATATCTATATTTGTACAAACAATAACAAAATCATGCATGCATGCTGAAAATGTGTACATATATCAACTAAGCTGTAACGATACCTTGCAAGTAGTGTCCTCTGAACAGCTGGCGATAACATTATCGTTAGATTTTCTAAAAAAACTATTTTGATAATTTTTTTTTTCGAATAATTTCAATCAAATTTTCACTTTTTTTTCTTTCTCTCTTTCTCTCCCTCTCCCTTTCTTTTTTTGAAAATATTGGAAAACTTAAAACTCACATCATTACGAGCACTTCTACCAAAGAGATAATCA